GGTCTCCTATCCAGATACTGACCAAGCGCAGCAGTGCTTAGCTTCAGTGGGCTAACGTGAGAATTGCATTTTTGTTGTTGTTTAATCATTTGCATTTAGACTCTTATCTTTTGGCCATTTAAATACTAATTTCCAACAAAATGCAGAAAATTTCTGCAAAAAGATTTACCTTCAGTATGTTTAGGTTCCATACTATAATATTTATTATTAAAAGAGCAGGGGCGGCACGGTGGTTCAGTGGGTAGTCCTTTCGCCTTACAGCAAGAAGTTTGCTGGTTCGAGCCTCGGCTAGGTCAGTTGGCATTTCTGTGTAGAGTTTGCATGTTTTCCGCGTGTTCCCATGGGTTTCCTCCGGGTACTCCGGCTCACCCACAACTCCAAAGACATGCGCTATAGGTGAAATGAGAAAGCTTAATTGTCCTTAGTGTATGTGTGTGAATGGGGGTGTATGGGTGTTTTCGAGTGATGGGTTGCGGCTGGAAGGGCATCCGCTGCGTAAAACATATGCTGAATAAGTTGTCGATTGATTCCGCTGTGGCGATCCCAAATTAATAAAGGGACTAAGCTAAAAAGAAAATGAATGAATGAAAATTGACCATAGTGTATAAGAGTGTGTGTACATGAATGCAAGAGTACATGAGTGTTTCCCAGTATTGGGTTGTGGCTGCAAAGGCATCTGCTGTGTAAAAACAGATTCTGGAATAGTTGGCAGTTCATTCCACTGTGTCATTCTCTGATAAATCCAAGTAGGGCTCACTGCAGAGCCATTAGGGCAGAGCTGAGCTCCAGCGAGGGGGAGCTTGAGCTCTCGCTACTCCTTTCTTGCACTTCTTCTACGAGTGATGTCACTGGGGGTAGGGTTAGGGGTGGGGTTGGTGTACGCATTAAAAAACCTTATAGGAGGATGAGCGAGAGCTCATGCTCCCCCTCGCTGGAGCTCAGCTCTGCTCAAATGGCTCTGCAGCGAGCAGTGTCTCGATAAATCGGAGACTAAGTCAAAGGAAAATGAACAAATGAATATTAAATGAGACATGTAATTGTGTATAAATAACAAAAACACTTGTGCAATTTTGTCTACAGGTTAAGTAAACTACTTGTGCTTCAAACTGTCATAAATGTTTTTAGGAATGTCTGAAGAGATTGTGGATTTAAGCTGTTTTAGTAATGTTCAGATTCTTGATCAATTTGATCTTTCTAAGGAACTCGGTGTATTGTCAGAATCCAATGGAAATCATTTTGTATTTCCTGTATTTGTTTTTGACTCATAATGCAAGTAGCCATTGATTCTTATTTTATAAATCATCAAGGACCCAAATGCTTCTTTTCAGTGATCTTCCTTAAAGAAGAAAAACACAATATCAACAAACACCATTAGTTTCTTTTTGACTGTTTTAGAGCTTGGCGTGTTTGCATGCATGCCACAGGTGGCTGACCGGTAGGTGGGGAAATGCAGGAAGTCTGTGTGGCCGTTTTTGTGTGTCAGACCCAGCATGTTTTTCCCGCAACAGAGGCGAGGTATCCTGTGTGTGTGCGGCCCGTCGCCCAGAGCGCCTAACTTTCAGGAACCCCAGCGGCAACAACAGCGCTGTGTGTTTCCTGGTCTCTTATGCTGTTATCAGTGGACACGACACCCGCTCGTGCCCCTGCAGATTTCCTAAGCACCATCCTTTTTGCCTCCGGTGTCAAGATGTTGCCCTGTGATTGCCACAAGAAGCTTTTCTCTAACGCACGCTGCGCACAAAAGAGATCGGATTGAGTCCTTGTGATAACAGAGTGGTAGGGTCTGTTTGTGCTGATCTGACACAAGTGTGTTTCATTCAGCCGGTGGTTCACAGGCTTCCAAATTGAGAGACATCTCACCCAGTTGCCTTTGTCTGAGACGAACAAAGAGTCAAATCTGCGCATCACGAACTGTGCTGAGAAAAGCCCTGTCAGAGTTCCAGATTTTGCATGATCTCCAAAAAACTGTTACTGCTCTAGCGAGAAAATAAATAGCTGGAATTAAGCTCAATCTTTGCAATTACACAAATAAATCCTCATTTGAGCAACTGGGGCTGGAGGAAAACATTGTTAACATGAGTAAAAGACATCATGTTTTGGGCTCAGGCCAATGGCAGTTGCCAGAAGGATTTCATAATCTTTTTGCAGAACCTTATTGTAAAAAGAAACCCCCTAGAATATACACATCTCACTTGAGGCGTACGATGAATGGGTCGAGTTGGGGTTAAAAGCGAGATTTGAGCGAGGGAGTCTGCGACGCATTAACTTCATGAACGGCGTCTGTGTGAAAGAGGCTGTTATCATCGGGCTGTAAACGGCGCTTCTGCTTTTCCTGGCTCGGCGGCCCGAGATGAAGTCCAGATGGTCGGGGAAGTGTTTGCCCAAGGATGTAACCAAATATTCCAGATTGAGGTGGGGGAACAAATGGAAAAGTTGAAGAAGGGGTCATTGTAAAAACTCATATTGATTGACTACAAATGAGGGTTTGGGCTTTTGGGGACATTGGGGATATATATGGCCTTGTTTGCACCTGATACAAAATTTTTGTGTCTTGGTGGTGGTTGGGGGTCAACTGATAAGCATTGGCTTTTACACCTGGTAGCAACATGTCTGTCCATGTCTATTATGAACAGCTTTTATTTCGATTAATTGCAGGAGAACACATGAAGAGCATGCATGAGTTACCTAAAGTATGTGTATGTGTGTGTGTGATGAGTGTAAAATATTCTAAATATCGTCATCTGACCATATAAAAACAAAGAGTTGATGCATTTGCTAGAAAGTTCCATCATTGGTCATATCTGTTTATATATTTTTTCAGTATAGAATATATAAAAATGTGTTTTTTTTAAATATACATTGAAAATCAATATAAATTTTTAAAAAATTATATAATTATGAATAATGTAGGCATAAATATGTCCATTTTATGTATCACTTTGCATCTGTAATGGGTAAAAAAAGCACAAAAGTGTACCTCTTGAAAATGTATCACCATAGAAATAGCAATTGTATCATTTTCCCCTGTTTTTAATCGTTGTTGTTACATGTTATATACTCTTCCATTTTTTTCCTGCTGTAAAATGTTTGAGGAAAAAGCTTACACTTTAAAAAAGAAATGTAAAATAATATTACATACATTAATTATTATATTAAGATACACCCTTATGCTTATGCACAAGTTAGTATAAATATTTAAAAATAATAATAAATGATAAAATATAAATTAAAATAAAAAATATTATAATAGTTCTTGTTTATTTCTATAGTGCCTTTACAATGTAGATTGTGTCAAAGCAGCTTAACATAGAAGTTCAAGTGAACCGAATCTGTGTCAGTCCAGTTTTCAGAGTTGAAGTTAGTTTAGTTAAAGTTTAGTTCAGTTCAGTGTGGTTTAAATTTCAATGCTGAAAGTCCAAACACTGAAGGGCAAGTCCAGCAATGCGCAGCTCCACAAGTCCCAAACCAATCAAGCCAGTGGCGACAGTTGCAAGGAACATTATAATTTATAATTATATTAGGGCGACGCAGTGGCGCAGTAAGTAGTGCTGTCGCCTCCTAGCAAGTAGGTCGCTGGTTTGAGCCTCGGCTAGGTCAGATGATGTTTCTGTGTAGATTTTGCATGTTCTCCCTGCGTTTGCGTGGGTTTCCTCCGGATGCTCCGGTTTCCCCCACAGTCCAAAGACATGCAGTACAGGTGAATTGGGTAGGCTAAATTGTCCGTAGTGAATGAGTGTGTGTGAAGTATAAAGGTTTTTTCTTTCTAAAATGCTAACACATCTTAAAATTTATATTGATTTTCAATATTTTTATATATTTATACTGAAAAAATCTCTGAAGGTTTCCCAGAGATGGGTTGCAACTGGAAGGGCATCCGTTGCGTAAAAATGTGCTGGGTAAGTTGGCGGTTCATTTTGCTGTGGTGACCCCGGATTAATAAAGGGAATAAGCCGAAAAAGAAAATGAATGAATGAATGAATTATATTATAAATTATTTTATATATTATTATGAATCAACTCGAGGACAGAACTGTATAAATTCAGTGCTTTAACAAGTAGGAAAAATTATGTTGGGTATTTACACTAGTAAAAAGATGTGTTAGCATTTTAGAAAGAGAAACCTTTGCCTTTGCTAAAGGTTTTTATTTTGTCTGCCGGCTTATGCATTAAAAAACCTGACTTGGGGCGTATAGTAAGTCAATCTTATTAATGAGGTTAAAAAAAAAGTAACTTAAACAGAATAATTGCTATTTTTTTTTTGTATCATTTAGTACAAACCTTTTTGTGTCTGACACTTGTGGCCTACACTGTAGAAAATTATATGATCAATAAGTCATGACAATACAGTTAATTGTAACTTATTAAACAAAGTCAGTTATGTTCCAACTTATTTGTATGAGGTACACAAGCTGTTTTAAGTCATTTTAATATAATATAAGTTCAAATGACTCATATAGTTAATTTGATTCAGCTTAAACTTTTAAAACTACAGTGAGTTGAAATTGTTTCAGTGGCATTAGCAAGCAAATCTACATGCTTACAAGTTGTTAAGCAGTCGAAACCTTTTTTTTCAAAAGCCTTTTTAATGAGAAACACTAATGAAAAAATAAGTTTGCTACTTGTTCCAACTACTTATTTAAAATAAGTGGAATCAACACAATTCTTGAGTTTTTTTGGGTGACAACTTCATTGTTTTGTGTTCAATCCACCTACATTTGTAAAAACAATTAAGGTAACTTAATCAATTTGTGTTGGGACAACATGAATGAATTGTGTGTAACCCAGTATTTTTTACAGTTTACAGTTTTAAAAGAGAGAGAGAGAACGAATTGCTACAACTATCGCTTATTATACCATCCTTTTCCCCAACAGTCTCATCTGCCTAGCTCTATATGGCGTTTATCCCATAATAACCTGTACACATTTATAACCAGATGCCTGTTGTCTCAAGCCCCGCCCTCCGGTGAATAAAGCTCCGCCCACTCTGCACCTGGGTTTCCCGCCGCCGAAGCTCGCCGACTAGAGGCAAAGGACCACAGCTTCTCCAGGCAGCCGGGCGCGCGCTTTGACGCTCTTCTGTAGAGACCGTTTTCAACACTACTTCGCTGATCCCGACATATTTCAGACTCTTGTCGCACACCAGGATCAAAGGTTTTCGTTTGTCTCGTCTTCAAGCATTCGGACAGTTGAAGGAAAACGCCGCGCTAAATGAGTTGAGCTCGAGAAACGCACACACACAGCATCTTCCTCTTGTCAGGTTGAGGTCCTTCAGCACACGGGAGCCGCTCTTTCTAGAGCTGTGCACTGGAGTTTAAAGGACACGTCTTCTCCTTCGTCTTGGAAGTACACGTTCAGGACTGAAAACCATCACTAATATATCGTCTGGAGTCCAGGACAGGAAATTATTTTTTTTTCTCTCACAACGCCGTTACGCATGGTGGGAATTTCTACCTCTTTTCAGTGTAAGTCGCTCAGTTACTGTCCTTTTCCTCTGAATATTTAGTAGCCTGTGCACTTCAGCCACATTTATTAAATGCATTAGCCTGTCTTAGTTTAGGTTTGTGTTATTAAAATGCACTTTATATTATTTTTCTCCCTATTTCACTTCGTAACACGAATGTCACCAACAATAAATAGTAATACATGCATATGTCATATCTAAACACAGTACGTGGTCGCAGCAGTCGGTTGTGTTATTAAAACTGAACAGGCTTTGACCGTTTTACACTAGGCTATTTGTAAACAATACTCTACCATACAATAAGCGCTTGGTGTTACGCATATTAATTTCCACAATATTTTATATTGTATTTAAATCTATACATAAAATGTGTGTGTGGATTCTAGATAGTAAAACGTTGTTTGTCCTGTCAATATGCTATCTCGCGTGTGTTAAGTACATTTAATAGTCTATCACAGAGTTTACAGCTTTACAATTTGCACATCACTGTAGGTCTTTACGCACACATTTTAAAGCAGACATTTCCCCCCAGAACATTCATTTTATTATATTTTTAAATACATTGTTTAATGACAACATATTTATTTAACGTATTTTTACTATCCATATTAACGTTGACGACATATGAAGTCAGCAAGTCAAACATTAACAGTCATCTGCCGGCCGTGTGTAATATCACCTCCGTCTATAAACACATTAACTGTCTGTAATAAGCTGGAGGATTGTGCTGGCTAGTCGGCGAGCATCTCACGCGCTGCAAATTTGATCAAATCAAATGTTTGATTACAAGCACAGGTAAACATCTGGTGTGAGACAGGCAGAAAATTGTGACAACGTGATGGATTCGGAAGACCCTTTTTTTAATCAAGTCTGAAATAATGCACCTGACAGTTGGTATGGCACGGTAGATTAAGAAGCTATTTTATTTTAATAATAAAATCGTCACATTGCAATTGAAGTGTTTTGGAATATTAATATAATTTGAGAAGAGTCTGTGATAGTGGGGATTTGGCAGTAGATAAAGATGAACATTTATCTAGCGTATCACAATTGTGATATTAACTGTTTTAAACAGAAACATTGACGATTGTGACGTCACTATGAATTGACAAGACATGTCTGACAATTGTGATATCACAGTTGACTAAAAGCTCTATTAACAGCTGTGACATCAAAAGAAATTAGGAAAACGTGCTTATCTATAGTGACCCAGCCACCTTAAAAAGAAAAAAAAAAAAAGAGCTGCTCCCATCTCAATTGTCCAGCTCATCTTCTCAACCCATATTGATGTGAATAGTTTGCTCTCTAAGCTTAAATTCTCTTGACTAAGGAGTCTTGAAAAGAAAAAAAGTCCAAATTAAAGGGCGGCCTTTTATTTCCCTTTCTCTCTTCGGCTATGCATGTGCATTTAAGGCAAGAAAAAATAAATTAGAGAGGATTTTAGAGAGTTTGTGTTGCCTAAAGAAAGATGCTCATTCTCATAGTGCTGCTTGTCAAATATAAATTTTTGTTGTTGTTGTTTTTGTTAATGATTTTAAGAATGTGTTCACACTTGAACTCTAGTAAGATTGCTCTGTTACTGAGGTTAATTAAAGTTGAGTTTTTGTTCCTTTCCGAATTACTTTGAAACAGCTTAGTTGAAATATGAATGCAACACAGACCATTTCACATATATCACATCCATAATGTATAGGTTTTCCCTCATAAATGCAAAAAAATGTCAAATAAAATCAAATCGATTATGTTTGTTCTATAGTGAGCCTACATTTGGGTTGTGCAGTTTAATTCACAGAATTGCTACAAAGTATGCTCCATAATGTAAACTTGCAGACTTTTTTGTCGCATCCATAATGCATGTTTATTTTCCTTATTAAAAATAAATAACAAAATGTTTACAGATTGACATTTTTCTGATCCCATAACTCTGTGGTAGTTGTTTTGGGAAGTAAAAACAGATGTTTCAATATAAAGTTAGCATATACTTTCTATGAATATATGTTTTGAGATTTTCCTGCAAATGTCTCATCCATAACGCTGGAATTGCTCCTTAACAGAACCATAAACGTTATGTCAGAAGTAGACATGGGCTGACATAAGATTCTGACGCAATGATAATCTATGATAAAAAATCACGGTTTCACTGTATCGCGGTATTGTGATTCCTGCTTTAAAATATATATATTTTTAAATGTCTGGGTAAAAAAAAAAAAAAACTTTGAACAAATTATATTTTAATTTAAGAGACGTTTAAAATATTTTGCAACAGTAAACATGTCAGGCTATATAATTCAAATGAATCATTGACTTCTGCTGTCTTCATTTGTTTCAAAAACACAGTTTTCTGTACAATTTAAAACAGCATCTAATATACATTTTCTGCTGGAGAAACTGTTGTCCTAAAAAACTAAAATAAAAATATTTTACGGTAGGAACAGTATAGCAGAAAAATTTTAAAACCTTGACTTTTCCAAACCGCGGTATACCTTGAAAACAGCTTTCGTCCCATGCCTAGTCAGAAAATGTGACTAACTGAAAAAATGATTCAAAGATGAAAACTTGGATTTACAATTGTTTTTAAGTTATTCAATTGTAAACAGTTAATTTGGCCTGAATTTAAAAAACACATTAAGTTGAAAATTACTAAATGTAATTTGTTAGTTTAAAACATGTAAATTATTTGCAACAATTTTGCTGACATTTTTTTAAAGCTATTACTGTTTTATTTATTTTACTCAATCGTAGTTCAATACAGCAGACATTTGCCAGAACAATTTCTGACGCGCCTTTGACTCCTTTACGCGTGACATGTCATTTATAAGTCCTTCATGAACCTATCACAAATACACACACAGCATAATATGAATATTCATTAAGTTCTGTTGCAAAATAAAAGTCATACTCTTTTTTTTATTTTGTATTTTTATTTATTTATCTTGTATTTAAAAAAAAACTGAAGTGTAAATGCCACTCGAGCCATTACTAGAGAACTGAAATTCAAGTGTGAACACATCCAGTCACTCATTTGTGTTGTGTCAGAAAGTAGATTTATATTTTTCCCCTAAAAGTTAGCTTTTCTGTTATTAGAGTTGCGTCTTTTAAAGATACGTTTTTCATTTCTGATATTTTATGTGGTTCAGAAAACGGAAGTGAGGTCCAGCTGTGACTTTCTCCATTATGATATGGTCATCACCTCATTAAAGCCTTTTCCCACTGCTCCTGCCGACACGAGATTTACACTGGAGACCAAGTGTCAGTGCAGAAAGAGAGCGTATACCTTGATTAAAGGCATAAATGGAGTATGGTGGTGGCAGAGGTGAGGGATCGGCGTGTGTTTGCGCATGTGTGTGTGTTTGAAGCCAGCATTAACAGGCAGCAACATCCTCTGGCTGAGGCCATCTGCACAGCCACCAGCCTGCCTGCCTCACACCTGTTCCCCTCTCCTCCGCTCCCACTGGCCACACGCGGGTCAAACGCATGAAACCAGACACTGCCACAGCATAATGAAGAGATGACTCGGCTGCCCACACCAACACACACAGCTGTGTGTGTGAGAGAGAGATATGGAAATACTCATCCATTATTTTCAAGGGTGTCTGGGAGATGTTTAGTCTTTTATTTAATACATTTATTCTGTACGGAAGATCTTGAAATATGCTTTATGCATCACTAGAAATTAATTAACAATTATGAGGAAAATGGAACTCTTTTTGTTTTCTTTTTTTGTTGTTGTATTCATGAAAGATGAGCATTACATGTTCTTCTCTTGATAAATGTGCTTCTAATTTACCTTAAACGCAGAGCAGTGTAAAAACATTTGTAGTTAAGTGCTTACTGTGTATTTTAAATGACGAACAGCAGACGTTCTGGCCGAAAGCCAAGCGTGTTATCATTGCAGTAACTCATTTCATTAGTGATGTCATTAACCCCATACATAAACTGGCAGACATTCTTACCAGACACTTGCACAAATACGCAGCACGTCTCGTTGCTTCACAATTTCTCTTTCGCGGACATTTAAATCAAAAAGCACCCTCTTTGTGCGTAAGGATACAAGAAACACAGACTGTAAATTTAGCAGCGAGCAACCGTACGTGTGCAAAAAGGTCTAAGCTGACAGACCATATAATTTCTCTGGATGAATAAAAATTGTAATAACAAAAGGGAAGAAAAATGAGCGAGTTCAGTTACGTGACATCAGCCAAGTGCATTATAGGTTTCAGCTCTTAAGGGGAACATTCCCAAAATGCATTAGCGTCGTTTCACTCGCATCTCTTTCCATTGAGCTCTATCATGTATGAGGCTCTTTATATTCATTGAGGGCTACTGTTGGACTTGCTGACACACTCAATCTTGGGCTGTAAATAAGCGACATGATTTGTCGGGCTTTGTCAGGGGGGAGAAAGGCCCCTTATTTGTGAGGGCTGTATATTTGACTCGACGTGAGTCTCTGCGGAGGGCAGGCTGTGAATGATTGAGGCGGCCACCATCTCCCAGAATCCATGCCTCGGATCGATAGGGGGCATAATGGCTACAAATTTTTCAACGAGGGGAATTTAGCGTGTGGTTATTGGATTTCATAAAGCATGAAAGTATAATGTGAGAGAGGAGGATGAGTGGTTTTTATTGTATCGTGGGGCTGGAGTGTACAACATAATGAGGCAATATAAAGTCAGGGGGGGATGTGTAAGAATTTACATCAGGCTTTTTTATGCGATGCAGTTTTTACAGATGAAATTTGTCCTAGGCATATATTTTTATGTTAATTTATAAATATATTTTAATTATAGATCAAATATTTATCAGTATTTAATTTAGCTTGTACACTTCTTGTTCAGTCTACTTATTTATAATGAGCTTAATCAACACAATTCTTGACATTTTTTTGGATAACTTAAGTAACGAAGTAGTCAGCTTTATTTTTTACAACTATTAAAGATGTTTTAAGGCTATCACCCTCCCCCACTATACATTTTTCTTAGGCATTAACATTTTACACTTTTC